ACTGGGACAGGAATGGAATGTGATTATCCAGCAACACAAACAGCACTGACTGGGACAAGAATGGGATGTGATCATCCAGCAACACAAACAGCACTGACTGGGACAGGAATGGAATGTGATTATCCAGCAACACAAACAGCACTGACTGGGACAGAAATGGGATGTAGTCATCCAGCCACACAAACAGCACTTACTGGGACAGGAATGGGATGTGATCATCCAGCAACACAAACAGCACTGACTGGGACAGGAATGGGATGTGATCATCCAGCCACACAAACAGCACTTACTGGGACAGGAATGGGATGTAGTCATCCAGTCACACAAACAGCACTGACTGGGACAGGAATGGGATGTAGTCATCCAGCCACACAAACAGCACTGACTGGGACAGAAATGGGATGTTGTCATCCAGCAACACAAACAGCCCTAACTGGGACAGAAATGCAACACAAACAGCACTGACTGGGACAGGAATGGGATGTGATCATCCAGCCACACAAACAGCACTTACTGGGACAGGAATGGGATGTAGTCATCCAGTCACACAAACAGCACTGACTGGGACAGGAATGGGATGTAGTCATCCAGCCACACAAACAGCACTGACTGGGACAGAAATGGGATGTTGTCATCCAGCAACACAAACAGCCCTAACTGGGACAGAAATGCAACACAAACAGCAATGATTGGGACAGGAATGGGATGTAGTCATCCAGCAACACAGACAGCACTGACTGGGAGTCATTGTTGTGTTATTTACCTTTAATTTTGAACCCTGCATCAATATCTTTCAGCTGCAACTGGATTCCCTGAAATAAATATTAAGATGTAATTTAATATTCTACCACTTATAAGCCACTGTTGCTAATATTCTGTATGAATGTGTGACATTGTTTACCTCATCTTTCGTGCCAGCCTTACTGATTGCTTCTTTTGATAGACGTTGCTGAAGTAGAATATCAACAGCTTTTAGCATAACAAGAGGATCCTCATGTAGTGGTAGGCTCAGTTGTTGAGATACTGAAATAATCCCAGCTTTAAATTCAGGACTATTTACTATAGGAGAGAAGTTTACATAATGATTAATAATAACTTTGTTAAAGTCTCCATGCCAACTTTTTATACAAATAATCCAAATATTCGGGTGTCACATCTCGGCTACGATATTCCCCTGCAATTAGCAACTACATTAATGGGCATCAGTGTTCGCTGCATAAGGTGACAGTCACCACACGTATTTGATCACATATATAATTAACTACTTTGGCACAAAAATACGTTGGGTGCTTTCAGAAGCACAAAATGTTCTTAAATCATGTTTTTAAATATTTCTGTTATTTTTCTGATGCCAAGAGTTGCCATTGTGAGGTGCAAACATATCATCATTGGGTGTATTCAGTCAACACTTACCATCAAGATGTGCAAAGATATCATCACTGGCTACTTTTGCTTTTCCATCACTTCCTCTTAATATAGGTTGGGCTGATTTATATTTTTCCACTGTAAAAATAACACATAACACAATTTAAAAAAAATGTGCTTTCCTCAATCTTGAGGGAAATTTTCAGTCAAGGAAGGCTGAGAATACAGAGCATCAATATCAATGAACTTTGTGCTATAAAGACAGTGATGTGTTAAGCAATACCATCTATAGCTGCCAAATACTACCAGAATTTGGTGCTATGGACAGCTCAGGTTGCATCATACATACCATTTTCTCCATATTCCAGTCTTATGCTATGACCAAGAAGCCAATCTAAAACAACTGTCCTTGCATTAGGATCACGTGTATATTGTAAATCTTTAAGGTACTACAGTAGATAAAAACATCAAATACATTAGAGAATAGGCAACTATAAGTACGGTAACATGTTTTGCAATTTGAATGTGATTTTGAATATAAACATGCAAGGTTATGTTCAGACATGATACAAACTGAATCCAGACTATTTGTGTTTTTATGTTAATCATACTGAAGTTCAACTGAATGCACGACTGAGATCAGGTTCCAGAAAGGCACAAATGCTTAATTTTGATGAATTTTAAGTATGACAATGGCCACTATTCGACCATCTTGAATTGGACCTTAAAACAAATAAATGTGCATGTATGATGGGATGTGAAATGTATGTGTGAAGTTTGAATGACATCAGTCTATGCATGTATGATGGGATGTGAAATGTATGTGGGAAGTTTGAATGACATCAGTTTATGCATGTATGATGGGATGTGAAATGTATGTGGGAAGTTTGAATGACATCAATCTATGCATGTATGATGGGATGTGAAATGTATGTGGGAAGTTTGAATGACATCAGTTTATGCATGTATGATAGGATGTGAAATGTATGTGTGAAGTTTGAATGACATCAGTCTATGCATGTATGATGGATGTGAAATGTATGTGTGAAGTTTGAATGACATCAGTCTATGCATGTATGATGGGATGTGAAATGTATGTGTGAAGTTTGAATGACATCAGTCTATGCATGTATCATGGGATGTGAAATGTATGTGTGAAGTTTGAATGACATCAGTCTGCATGTAAGATGGGATGTGAAATGTATGTGTGAAGTTTGAATGACAACAGTCTATGCATGTATGATGGGATGTGAAATGTATGTGTGAAGTTTGAATGACATCAGTCTATGCATGTATGATGGGATGTGAAATGTATGTGGGAAGTTTGAATGACATCAGTCTATGCATGTATGATGGGATGTGAAATGTATGTGTGAAGTTTGAATGATGTACATCAGTCTATGCATGTATGATGGGATGTGAAATGTATGTGGGAAGTTTGAATGACATCAGTCTATGCATGTATGATGGGATGTGAAATGTATGTGGGAAGTTTGAATGACATCAGTCTATGCATGTATGATGGGATGTGAAATGTATGTGTGAAGTTTGAATGATGTACATCAGTCTATGCATGTATGATGGGATGTGAAATGTATGTGTGAAGTTTGAATGATGTACATCAGTCTATGCATGTATGATGGGATGTGAAATGTATGTGGGAAGTTTGAATGACATCAGTCTATGCATGTATGATGGGATGTGAAATGTATGTGGGAAGTTTGAATGACATCAGTCTATGCATGTATGATGGGATGTGAAATGTATGTGGGAAGTTTGAATGACATCAGTCTATGCATGTCAGTTACATAGCTATGAAACCACATTCAATTTTTCACTCAGGTAAATTTTGTAGGTTTTCTTAAAAATGCCTAAAGAGGCCGAATTTCTGATATGGAATGGCAAGTTATTCCATAGGGTTACCCCTCTATACTGAAACGTCCTCTGACCCATGGATGTTTTCCATTTAGTAATGCGTAAATTATTTTTAAGAGAGGAACGTGTACTATACTTGTGGGTTTGTGAGATAGGACTGAACATTTCACTTATATATAAAGGCGCCAAGCCATTGGTTGCCATATACATTACGATACCTAGAAAATATGAAATTCTGTAATCGATAGGCAAGATACTATGTTTTTTGAACAGTTCAAACGACGATTGGCTAAAGTTGTCAGAGGAAATCACACGAACTGCCCTTTTCTGAAGCTTATACACCCGACATAAATTTGATTGACTTGTATTTCCCCATACTATACAGCAATAGTCCAATAACGACTGATAAATGAAAAATACAATGTTCTTCTGACGGAAATAGGTAAGAGCTGCGAACTCTCATAGACACCAATTCTTTGGCTAAGCTTTTACAAAGCATATCAACATGATAATCCCATG